TCTCTCTCTCTCTCTCTCTCTCTCTCTCTCTCTCTCTCTCACACACACACACACACACACACACACACACACACACACCCCACAGACGAACACATACACACACGAACACATACACACACGAACACATACATGCACACACGCAGACACGCAGACACGCACGTCTACACACTCACACGAAGCGATTCCTCTATCTGTCCAATTATCTAACGCTGCCTATCCCTCTGGATAAATGCAAACAACAGAAACACTTGCGCGCAGTTAAGAAGAAGAGGTAAAAGCGCACGCGCACTTAAAAAGAGGCACGCACGCACGCTGGAACCGTGTGTCCCCGTTTGCAACCCTGCTGCTTGTTCATCGCTGCATCATGATTTTCACGAAGTCCTCGTACTGGATCTGACCGGTCCCCTTGCCATCAGCTTCTTTCATCATCTCATCCACTTCCTCCGCGCTCAGAACTTCTCCCAAACTGGTCATAATGTGCCTCAGCTCGTCCGCAGCGATCAATCCATCATTGTCCTTGTCAAACACCCTGAAAGCCGACTTCAAATCGTCCTCCGACTGCTCTTTCAGATTCTTGGACATGAGGTCCAAAAAATCGTCGCAATTGAGGGCAGTTTTCCCTTGGTCTCCATACATTTTCACCATGTCCGACAGATCCGCTTCCGTCGGATTCAACCCTAGAGCACGCATCACTGTCCCCACTTCCTTAGTCGATATGCTCCCATCACGATCTCTGTCGAACAGACTGAACGCCTCCTTGAAATCAGCGACTTGCTTTTCCGTCAGCGTGGCCATCGCCGCAACGAACCAACCAGGCTGTCCTTTCCTCTCTCTCTCTCGCCAACCTTCGCGTCGAAAAATCCGAGAGAGAAAAAAAGAAGAAGGAAGGAGAACGACAAGAACAAAGACCGCAGATAACGAGCTCGCAATTAAAAAAAACGAGTCGACCGCTCACTAAGCCGTGAAGACGGTAGGAAGGCGGGAAAAGGGAAGGCGGGAGAACAGCGAGCAGAGAGAAGGCGATGGCTGAATAAGAAACGACGGTGGCGGGAAGATTGTTCCGCTGCCGTCCGCGCGATTCGTTTAGAAGAGCCCGCCAAAACACTTCGAACCCGCGAAGCACGACACGAAGCAATTGCCACGGCGGGCTGAGCTCGTTTCACCGTACGCGGGCTGACACACACCACCGCGGCTACTGTAGCCCAGTCGACGAGTCTTCTCGAAAGTACATGAGACGACGAAAGATTCTGCAGTCGCGCAGTGCCGTTCCGCGGGCATGCTCCCGACTTTCCACAAAATTGCCCTCCGCTCCTTTTTTCCCTTCTTAAATTGCCCTCTTCCCACTGTTTTGGCTTGTATATTGCTCAAAGAGTCCCCACAGGAGACGTGCACGCTCCCGATTTTCTTGCAAAATTGCACTCCTCTTTTCCATCTCGTGCCCAAAGAGGGGCAAAAGGACCGTCCAATGTCCTTGTCTGCGAACAGAAACAATAAGGGCATGTTTGCAATAGTGGTCTGCGTACTCGCGGCCGACGTTTCCCGATGTCTGCGTGTCATCCTTGCGAGGGGGCCATCCTAATCTTTTTCTTCTTTTGGCGGGGGGGATCCTATTCCTTATGAGACTCCCTCCCAACCTTCCTCTCTCGTTGTTTCTCCCTGGCGCACCCCTACTCCCACAATCCTACCTTGGTGTTTACCACTCAGGACTATCACCCTCCTACCACCTCAGCGGGGGTGACCAGACTGGACAGCGGTTGTAGGCACCAGGCCTAAGCAGGGCCTCCCGTGGTCAGCCCTGATTCAAGCATCATCAGACAAGGCATGTCCGTTTAGGGGGTGGTGGCATCTTATTTGAAACTGCAGGACTGGTAGATGCCCATGGGACCGCACGGGTTTTGGTCCAGAACCGCGTAGGACCGGTAGCTGCGCGTAGGAGGTCGAGGAGGCCGAAGTCCTTTTTCGAAATTGAAACGGTGCGGGTCCACTTTTCTCAAATAGCAGAGTTCCTTGAATCAAAAACGTACACGTTTTATTCAAATACAACCGGTACCCTTTCTATTCAGATTTCGAAAAGAAAAAACTCTTGTATTCTGATAAAATTACTTCTTCTTTCTGTTAGAGGTCAGCGCCCGCCCTTGTGCTCCCCGCCACTGACATGCTGCATGCTGCAGCTCTCTCTCTCT